GGGAGTGTTCCCAAATTATTAAGCTAGAAAGTGAACATATTATACAGACCTGCCTGGCCCTTAGCTCAGAATCTTGTTGCCTGCCACTCGGGAGCCCCTGCATCAGGCAAACACTTCTTCCCATATGTAATTCCCAGGAAGAAGACTGTAACAGATAAATCCTTGTACATGGTTTACTCACTTCTAGAGTGTCAAAGCATAATTTTTTTAATAACCTTTTTTGTTTTTTACGACATAGGATTAACACATGTCAAAAATTTTATTCATTTTCTCATTTTATGAGGGGACCAGTGTAATGATAAAAAGCCCCCAAATAATTGGGCATTTATAGGCACATTAATAAAAAAATGTTAGAATAAATCTTCTGGGTTAGCCACAAAACAGATTAATGTCCTATTGGGCAAAATACTGTAACCTTTGGGATTATCCCTTAACTAGAGAGAAATAATTTGTATCTCTGTTATATAAAAATGTACAAGTTACCATAACTTCACAGGGTCCAAGTCCCTAATGAATAGTAAATAGAAAAGTCAGAACATGGTAATTGTACCTAGAAAATGAAACAACCCTTGGGTGGGCTATTAAACTACTTCAGTGTGACATTGAAAGGCCATGCAGACTGGTGAGCAGGAAACTTCCATCTTAACTCACATGTCTGTAATGCTCTAAATTTAGGGCAGTGAGGCAGTGTTAAGCTGCGGATAAAGTACAAGGGCTCTGGAGGGAAGAGCTGCAGGGATTTTCAACTTGGTCTCATCTCTTAGGAGAGTGTGACCTTGGCAAAATAATATAACCTCACGTCCTCCATTTCCTCACCTATAAAATGAGAATAGTCAACAAGATCAGGCAAACTCATGCTTTCAGACCATGCAATCTGTTAACCAAGGCTGCCAAGCCACTTGGTAGAGAACTTGACTGGTGCCCAAGGACCATGCACCATCTTCTCTGTATGTATGTCTTAAAAACCACTTTGAGAGAGGAGTCCTCACTTCTGCTGGGATCAGATTTCCTAGAGCGGGGAAAGGAAGATGACCATATGGTGACTGTCAAGCAAAAATGTGATGAGGTCCCCCCAATCAGCAGACATTCCTACCAGAGTGATAAGAGATACTGATGGGAAAATGAAGCCAAGAGGGGGAAGTGGAGCAGACACATCTTGGTGAAGGCAAGCATTTCTGTTGGTAGAAAAGTGGGAGGACCGACCTCATAATGAGTAAAAATGACCAACAATACTTTTACAAACCCCAAGGGGAAAGTAGGCCTGTACTATGCTCCTAATAGGGCATATTGGTTCGAGTTTCTGTTCTGAGCCACGTGCCATAGAATACTAGAGCATTGAACCCTGGATTTTTGAGGTGCACAACACTCCCCAAAGATCAGAGGGGTGTAATGTGGAAACCCTACTAGGTGAACTGGGCTCTACCTCAAACACGGCTGTAACCTAAGGACTGAAGGCCAAAACTACATGGTGTGTGAAGAAGCAGAACATAGCTCTACCAACAACTCTTCCTCCTTCACGCATGGTAACCACAGGTCGTCCGGTTTCTTCTTTTAGTAGGTTTCTTGATATTCTCAAATCACATGCTTCCATAGTTAAACTGCTTCTAAAAAGAGTTGTATATATATCAATCTATATCACACACACACACACATATTTGCAGGTATATCTTGTTTGGTTACACCTGGCTTTATTGTGCTTTATAGAAAGTGGTTTTTGTTTGTTTTGTTTTCCTCTCTCTCTCTCTCTCTCTCAAATGGAATGTTTGTGGAAATCCTGCATCCAGCAAGTCTAGTTGTGCTATTTTCCCAACCGAATATGTTCACTTCATGTCTGCGTTTCACACTTTGGGAATTCCCACCATATTTCAGAACGTTTCACAATGCTGGCACACAGTTAGTAGACCAAACCCAACCCAAGGCCACTGAGTTGATTTAAACTTATCACCACCCTGCTTAGGATTTCTGTGGCAGAAAATCTTCACCAGAGCAGATAGCTTCAGCCTTGTCCCATGGAGAGACTGTTGTATTTGAACCACTGACCTTGCACTTAGCAGTTGTTGACCCAACAGCATCAACAAGGCTCCTATAGTATGGTGCAAACAACTTTTTCATGCCCTGGGAAACCAAAAAATCTGTGTGCCTGACTTGATTGTAAGTAATTATTGTGTGCTATCTGCTCTCCTGTGGTGATTTGGACTTAGCCTCCAATAGCTCTCAAGCATGCCCACTCCCTTAGAAAATCGATGAACATACATAGTATCAGATCTTGTCCTAACACTGATTTAGGACATGTAGGGTGGGACCCAAGGACATATAGGAGCAGAGCCTTCAAAAGAGGACAGGGTTAACAGTGACTATGGACTCTACCTTGAGTGGGGGTGGAGCCTAGTGGTGCTGTGGGTTAGGTGATAGGCCACTAACTGCATGGTCAGTAGTCCAAACCCCAGGATGACGCTGTCTGTCCTTATAAAGATTTGCAGTCTTGGGAACTCTATATAGAATCGACCCGATAGCAGTGGCTTTTTGGTTTATTCACTGGGGGATGGAGCCTTGGTAGCACAAAGGTTGAGAATGAGTTGCTAAGTGGAAGTTTGGCAGCTTGATCCCACCAGTCTGCTTTGTGGTAACATGCTTTCGTAAAGACTTACCACCTCGAAAATGCTTTAGAACAATTTTACTTTGTCATAAAAGAGTGCGATGAGTTGGAATTGCCTCAGTGGCAATGGGCATGAACTGGGGAAAGCAAATACAGAGGAGAGGAAGAGAGATTCAGGCATACACGTCAGATTCGGGCATACATGACTCCCCCAGAAAGAATTTTAGGGATCCGAGGCTTCAGGAAATGGGAGCACACTCATGCTTCTTTTCTTTCTATTCACATTTTGGTATTTTTGTTTAATAAAGGTTTCTATTATTTTGTCCATTACTTACCAATATAACTTGACAATTTAATACAGTATAATAAAATATGTACTTACATAAACTATAATTTCTACGTGGCTTGTCTTTTACTTACAAAATGATTGTTGTACTTTCCTTGTTCATTTACATGACTTAAGGTGTTTCAGCATGTTTCCAGCAGAGAATGAGGGTAGAAGAGGGCAGGCAAGGAATGCCAGTGGTGAAGTGATTTTTATTCATCTAATATTTATTTAATAATACTTCATGTCAGGCAGTGTTTTAGATAAATAAGACATGGTTTCTCTCAGGAGCTAACAATTTATGAGGAGACACGAACCATATATATTAAGACAAAAGCAATAACAGGAGAACACGAGGCAGAGTAGTTACACAGAGGTGGTCAACTCTGTTTTGGAGATTCATGGAAAGCTTCTCAGAGGGAGATAATGAAATTCCTTCTTGAAAGGTAGATAGAAACTTGCCAGTTACAGAAAGTGTGGAACTGCTTTCCTGACAGAGGCAACAGCTTGTGCACATGTGTGAAGGTATGAAACAATAGCTTTGTATTGCTGGATGGTGGGCATGTTAGGCTGGGTTGTCTAGGGAAACAAAACCAGTGACATCATATATGCATAAGAAAGAACTTTAGATCAAGAAAGCATGCCAACCCAGTGCAACTCAAGGCCATGGGTCCTCTGAAAGCTGGAGCCCTCTTCAGACTCACATAGCTATAGGCCAACAATCCAGAAAGGTGAAGCAGAAGCAGAGAGATCACAGGCTGGTGAGAGCAGAGTCCTGTGGATCCAAGGTTGCTGGAACATGGCCGGGCACAGACAGCTTGGCAGCTGGCTCCACTGGAAGCAGAAAGCGTTTCAGCAAGGACACAGAAGAAGTTCCTCATTGTCACTCTTATAGAAAAGGCACACCCTCAATGAGGCATCATGAGCCTACCACCTGATTCGCATGCTGGACTCCTCCCTCTCTCCATACAAGTATTCAAGTTGACAAAATCTAACTGCCGCAGTTAGGTTTGTAGAGAGAAACTGTAGGAGAATATACTGATGACCTGGGTGAAGGCATCCAAATCAGGAAGGCATGCGAAGGGATTCTGAAGACTTATGCTATGCTCTGGTGTCTAGTGGTTATACATTGGGCAGATCGAAACCAGCAGGCACGCCGAGGGAGAAAGACAAGGTTCTCTACTCCGGTAAAGATTTACAGTCTCAGAAATCCACAGGGGCAGAACAACTCTGTTCTATAGGGTCACTATGAGTTGGCATCCACTCGGCGGCAAAGAGTTTGGATTTGATGGTTTTGGATGCTGTGGCAAGGCATTTAGATGACGATCTCTAATGAAGGGAATGATCTTGAAGTACTTTACACTGCAAAGGGTGATTGTCCTGAAGAAACCTTTCTGTTTGTCCTTCCATGTACAATTTCCATAACCATTGCCTTGCTCAGTGCCCTGTAGAAGGCTGAGCTCTAAGAACCATAGTAGTTAGCAGCCTCACTCTCTCACTTTCTGTTGGGTTTAACCATGGGGGAGCAGTGGCAGGGCATCAGAGGGCAGAAAAACAGTAAGCTTAGCAGTTCCTTCTTCCAGCTCTTTATTTTTTGGAATCATGTGGATTGTCTTCAGAGGTTATAGCTCTTGTTGCATGGTCCTCTGTACACACTTCTCTCTCTTTCCTTCATATTTGCTTTCTCCTTTGGTTTCATGATTACTAGTCTGGGAGTATTTCATTATCCTCATGATTTCCAGAAACCATGTTAAACTTTTTGATTTCATCTTGGTATTCAAATTTCCTTAAAATATATAATTTGCACATACCATATGATCCCTACCATCGATGGAAACAATGACCATATTTTTTAATTTAAAGTTATTGATTAGGGATTAGAGTAGAATATGGTTCAGAAACAAGGACGGAAAGGAAGTAGAGAGACCAGAGAGGAAGACAACACAATAATTCCAAGAAGAAGTGGTTGATTCCTAAATTGTATTTTAGTCATTATGATAGAGAGGACAGATACACAATGTATTTGGAGATAGAATTAATGTGACTTAGTGCAACTCCTGTAACCAAGCAGATTCATCCTTACCAAATATTTATTTGGTAAGGGGAAATTCTACTCTATAATCTATCCCACAACAATTTAAAACAAAGAGAATATTTCCAGAGAAGTAGCAGAGTGGTAGGTAGGACAGGTATTCCCCAAACTTTTCCCTGATCTGACACTGAGGTAAGCTTGGAGAAATTATGAACAACTTGAGTTTTTAAGGACTGCAAGGTCCTATCCCACTGAGTCATGATGGCATTTCTGGCTCCATCCCATTTTCCAAGACCCATTAGATGGTACTGTTGAGTTTCACCCTGGGGTGTGTTGTAGTTACATAATCTGTTGTCAAGTTGAGGATTAAAGGGGTGGAGTCTAACCTGTCAATTAGGTCGTAGCTGGATGACCTCATTTTGAGGCGCTAAGGAGATAAACAGCTTCCTGGAGGCAGAACACTCGCTCACTCTCTGAGAGATGCTCTACTGACATAACAAATGGCACTCGCTGATTTATCCTGTGCCCTGGGAGCTGGAGGAGTCTCATGAAGACCCCTGCCAGTGCTGAGATGCTTCTACCACCACTGGATCCACAAGACTTTGCACCCATTGGCTTGTGAACTTCCTGAGTTTGGCATCATTGTATGTGTTTTGTAAGTCTGAAGAGGACTTTATGGACTGGTATTGGACATATGGGCTAATATTGGACTTATGGACTTGATATGGACTGGACTGGGACATTTTCTCAATATTCAACTGCTCTTGTATATAATGCTCTTTCTTATACACATATGAGTGTCCATGAATTTGTTTCTTTAGTCTACCCAGACTAACACAGGGTGCATGGTCCAAATAAAACTTCCCAAGCTTGTCTGGGATCCTTGAGGAACAGAAGCAGAACACTGGGGTTTGTACCTATGCACACAGCAAGGTCATCCATGTAGGGCAGGCAGTTGAGTTGGCCTCCACTGGTATCTTTAATCAGACCCCTACGAGGAAAAATGATGGATCACTTTTTATGAATCTCTCTCTCATTTGTGTTTTTCAATTTGTAGGATCCACCTACTTCCCTCCCACCATATGACTACCTTTTAAAAGAAACAACAACAACAACAAAAGAACAAAAAACCAGAACAATGCATGTTTGGGAATTTTTTTTTAATGATGGGAAATAAAAATAAGTCTATTTAGAGAAATGAGGGCAATTAACTTAGTTAAAACAGCTGATCAAAGAAGGCAACTTGAGAAAAGGGATTGAAATAATGTTTTAGAGTCTTGAATTTGATATGAAGGCTAAATCTGATCAGTCCAAATGTAATAGTTGTTGAATGAATGAGCATGATCAGAAAGCATTGCATATAGGGACACCTGAATTATTTGTACTGATAAGCAGTTATGAGTTGAGAGGCCATACATGGTGCGCTAGTACCGAACACGACACAGAGATGATTATAAGGTGTTTGAAAGCTTTATACATACCCATTTATGTTGATAGCAAACTTTCATGATGTCCCAATGCCATTCATTCATTCTTTCATTCACTAAATATTGACCATCATGGACTGCTAGAAAAAGAAACAAATCATTTGTTTTGGAATAAGTATAACCAGAATGCTCCTTAGAGACAAGCTTGAGGAAATTTTGTCTCACATACTTTGGACACATTATCAAGAAAGACAAAAACACACCCCCAAAACCAAAACCCACCCAAAACCACCACCAACAAAAACATCACTATCATCCAGTCGATAACAACTCATTGTGACCCTATAGGATGGTGCAGCACTGTCGCTGTGCGTTTCTGACTGTAAGTGTTTACAGGAGCAGAGAGCTCTGTCTCTCTTCTGCAGAGCAGCTAGTGGTTTCAATTGCTGACCTTGTGGCTCACAGCCCAACTTGTAACCTCTAGGCCACCCTGGACAAGGACATTATGATTGATAAAGTAGAGGGTCATTGAGAACGAGGAAGACCATAAGGAGATGGATGGATACAGGGGCTGCAGCAATGTACAACTTAACCAACATTGTGAGGATGGTGCAGAGCTAGGCAGTGTTTCCTTCTGTTCTACACAGAGTGACAGTGAACTGGAAACTACTTGTTGGCACCTAGCCAACTGTAACAATCATATGCCACTTACCATTCTAGGTGATGGGGACCCAACGTTGAACCAAACAAAGTCCTTACTTGCCAGGAGCTTACATAGCATTCTAATGGATGGGATGAATCAGAAGACATAGAAAGAATAAATAGATATGCACTACGTAAGATAGTAAGGAGTATTATGAAGGATTAAAAAGGAGTGTGCTGTGGATTGCATGATATCTCCCCCAAAGATATGTTGACGCTCTACTCCCTGGTGCCTGTGAATGTGACCTTGTTTGGAGAAGGGTCTTTGGAGATGCTCTCAGTTAGTTTAAGACAAAGTGATACCAGAGTCGGGGGGATTGTAAGCTGCTATGGGTGGTGTCCTTATGAAGGACTGAAACACACAGAGAGAGGATGGCCTTGTGAAGGCAGAGGCACAGTTTGCAAGGTCAAGACACCCATCACCACCAGATGCTAGGAGGAAGGCACGGGAGAGATTCTCCCTCACAGCTCTCAGGAGGAGTCGACATGGCCAACACCCTAACTTTGGGCTTCTAGCCTTCCAAACAATAACTGTCTGTTGTTTAAGCCACTCAGCTTGCTCTACTTTGTTACCACAGTCCTAGAAAACTGACACAGAAGGTGAAGTGGAAAGTTGGTCACAAGAGTGGGTAAATTGCTATTTTCTATAGTGTGGTCAGAGAAGGCTTCATCCTTTTGAAGCAATATCTGAGCAGGGTGAGCCATGCAACACTGAGGGTAAGAAAATTCCAGGCAGCGGGACTAGGTAGTGCAAAGGTGCTGAGGGAGCTAAGCTTGGTGTGTGGGAGTAAGAGTGCAGAGGCTGGAGGGACTGGAGCCACATGGAGGAGATGGGAACATGGTAGCCAATGAGAGCCAGGGCAGAGAGAGCTGGGTGTCCTGCAGAGTCTTGAGGGCTGCAGGGCAGATTCTGAGTGAAATGGGGACATAATTCTGCAGAGGAGCACCACCAGGTATCTCACCGTAGCTTCACCATCAAGAATGGACTGTAGAGCAGTCAGAGTGGAGAGCGGGGAGAAGAGATAGGAGAGAGTTACACTCCTCTGCTGAGAAAGCATGGTGGTAGCAATGGGGTAGTGAGAAGTGTCTGGATTCTGACTTTATTTTGATGGTAGGGGTTCTCAGGATTTGCTGATGTGAGATGTGAGAGAAAGAGGCAAAAAAGGATTGCTCCGAGGCTTTAGATGGATCAAGTGAAATGGTATCATTTGTTGAGATGGGACAAGGTCTCAGAGCAGCCCATTTACAGGGTGGTGGAGTGATGGTTGGGGAACAAGACTTTTATTTTATTTTAATGGCTACATTGAGTTTGAGATACTCATTAAATGTCCTGAAGGAGTTGCAAAAGGAGACTGGTGTCCCGAGGCAGATTTGGGAATGGTGATACAAGCTGGGTTTTCAAAGTACAAGATGGGGTTTAAGGCACCGGCCTGCATGGGGCCACCTGGGAGGGAGCATCAGCAGAAGGTGGCAGAGGTCTGAAGACGACATTTGGGTTCCCTTACTTTAAAATGTGAGTAAGAGGACTTACTAGCAAATGATACAGAGAAGGGAAGTCAGAGAAGTAGGGAGAAAGTGAAGGCAAGATTGGCTATTTTCTAGAGGCCAGGCTCTGTGCTCCACTGAAGAGACTTGGTGCCCCTATGATGTGTCTAAAGCAGAATGCAGAGTTAGGATGAATCATACTAATAATCATCCCCTGACGCCTTTCGCAGTTATTTCCAACCAGCCATGGCGCCCTCCCCACCACCCCCCGCCACCAACCACCCAGGACTAGCTTTTTAAAAACCAACAACTTTTTTGGGGGGAGGTAACAATATATTGCTTGGTTTTCCCTGTGGCAAACAATATTTTATACCTTTTTTTAACATAGCCTCAGCCATCAGTAGTTGGGATGGTGGTAGCTTATAGAGGCCAGTGAGGAAAAACAGGAAACAATAAAGTCACATGTAGTTTCCCCTTTATTGATGTTTCCCAACACCCTTGCCTCAGAACATATGAGAGTCAGAGCTTAGAAATGAACTTGGAGGTCAGAAAGGAGTTTTCTAGAGAGAAAAGTCTCTCCCAATCTCACATAAACAAGCCCTTCACTGCCAGAATTGTGGAAGAACATCCCAGGAGTCTAGCGCTCAGTCAGCATGACACTCACTCCCCAGCTGGCCCACCTTTGTCTCCTGCATGCACTCCTGCATCCTGAAAAGCTAGCCGAAAAGGCTGGGACAGAGTTATACATCGAGGACACAGGGATATACATCTGCGTTCAGTAGCCACTTTTGGCTGGGAGAGAGAGGACTGGCTTCACTCACTGCTATCAAATGGATTCCAACTCATATCGACTCATAGGCACCCTGGTGGTGAACTGGGCTATGGGTTTGGCTCCTAACCTCAAAGTCAGCAGTTCAAAACCAATAACTGCTTCGTGGGAGAAAGGTGAGGCTTTCCACTCCCATTAAGAGTTACATTCTCAGAAATTCAAAGGGGGCAGTACTACTTTGTCCTATAACCCCTATGAGGGTTTGCCTAGCATTATCTATTTGTCTAGCTAGATCTCATATGCCTGAAAAACCTTCAGTGTAAAATTTGGGATGTTCTCTTCAAATGAAATTGTGTGTATCCTAAAGCTCTTAGTGTGTTAAATGTAAGCACTTCAAATGATGCCTATTTTTAGAACCTTGTTGTGGCAAGGTTTTCATTTTTACTAAACAGGGGGTTCTCCAGCAAAACAGAGCTCCAACCATCTCCTAGTCTGGATGAGGCTCTGTCTGTCCGAGGGGCTCCTATCAAGTCAGTCTCCGCACTTGGTTTCTATTCTAAATATGTGAAGCTTGCTCTTGTTTCAATTTCTTGGGTCTTGATCACTTTTTCTAGTTGACCAGCAGACTCAAGTTTAAAAATCCACTCTGACATCTGTATTTCTCGACTTTCACATCCATTCTTACGTGTGCCTCTCACTACCCATGGGCCATTTGTGACCTAGACAATCCACCCTGTTGGCCATCCTATTCGGATCTGGTCAGCTGCCTTATCCTGTCTACAGTTAAGTGCCTAGAGTCCTGACCTTAGGGTGTGAGTTTGCTATCCATAGGTGATAATAACTTCAACTCAGCTCTGCTACTTCCTTACCATCCAGGTCACTTTAACCTATAAAAAGCCAGCAGGACTTTAATTGGTGTTTTCTGGATTGCCTCCTGGAGGTTTTCCAGTAAAGCAAGGAATTACGCTAATTGTGTGATGTAACAGAGGTTTGCTTTGACAGCTCAATCATTCTGATAAGCATTTTGGAACTCAATAGAAAAAAAAATATTTTTAAAAATGATACTTAAGAGTCTCTGGTGATTTTAATATAATTGAACAAGCTGCAAATGTACTTTGTCTCTCAAGAATGAAAAAAATTGTGCTGATTTAATGAAGGATTGTGAAATTTGTGCTAATTTAATGAAAATGTGGACATTTCCTACAGGTTCTGTTTTCAGGTCTTCACTTTGTTCACAGTGTGCATTATTCCAATATACACCTTTGGAAAGATCTGAAATTCTACTTCTTGTAATAAATGGAAAGAACAAGAAGTAAATAAAAAAGCTTAGACGAGGACCCTGAGGCTTGTAAGGCTTTCAGTTAATCAGTGAAATTGGACTTTACTCTCTTTCCCAAATTATATCTTGTTTTATTATTATTTTTTCTTTTCTACTTGAAAAATTTTAACAAATCATTTCATTGTGGGCTCATGCAGCTCTTATCACAATGCATACATACATACATTGTGCCAAGCACATTTGTATATTTATTGCCATCATCATTTTCAAAACATTTTCTTTTCACTTGAGCCCTTGGTATCAGCTTCTCATTTTTTCCCCTCCCTCCCCCACCCTCCCTTCTTCACGAACCCTTGATAATTTATAGATTATTATTATTTTTTTCATATTTTGCACTGACTGATGTCTCCCTTCACCCACTTTTCTGTTTTCCATTTCCCCGGGAGGGGTTATATGTAGATCATTGTGAGTGGTTCCCCCTATCTCCCCCCACCTTTCCCTTCTCCTCCTGGTATGGCTACTCTCATTATTGGTCTTGAGGGGTTATCTGTACTGGATTCCCTGTGTTTCCAGCTCTTTTCTGTACCCATGTACATGTTCTGGTCTAGCCAGATATGTAAGGTAGAATTGGGATCATGATAGTGGATGGGAGGAAGCATTAAAGAACTTGAGGAAAGTTGTATGTTTCATCGGTGCTATATTGCACCCTGACTGGCTCGTCTCCTCCCCATGCCCCTTCTCTAATGGGATGTACAATTGCTTACAGATGGGCTCTGGGTCCCCACCGCACACTCCCCCTCATTCACGGTGATATGTTTTTTTGTTCTTTGATGCCTGATACCTGATCCTATTGACACCTCACGATCACACAGGCTGGTGTGCTTCTACTATGTGGGCTTTGCTGCTTCTCAGCTAGATGGCCGCTTGTTTATCTTCAAGCCTTTAAGACCCCAGATGCTATATCTTTTGATTGCCAGGCAACATCAGCTTTCTTCACCACACTTGCTTATGCACTCGCTTCATCTTCAGCAATCGTGTCGGGCAGGTGAACATCACGGAATGCAAGGTTAACAGAACAAAGTGTTCTTGCATTGAGGGAGTACTTGAGTAGAGGCCCAATGTCCATCTGCTACCTTAATACTAAACCTATAAATATATGCACATAGATCTGTGTCCCCATCCTCATATATAAATATATTTACACATGTACATGCCTGTCCCAAATCTACAGCACCCACTGAGTCCAACATCTTTTTCCAGTCAGTCACTTTGAGTATCATATTATACCAAAAAACCAACCTCACTTCCATCAAGCAGATGATGACTCACACAGATATAAAATTCACATTGTTCATTTTTTTGGTGGCAGGGGTGTGTGTCTATGCTTTCGGTTACTTCAGCATACATGTGTTTGCTTTTAACCAAATGAAAAGTCCCGTTGTCATTGAATTGATTCTGACTCCTGGCAATCCTATGTGTGTGAGGCGGTGAGCTTATAAAGTAGACCATCAGGCTTTTCTTCCATGGTAATGATGGGTGGATTCGAACCACCAGCTTTTCAGTTAACAGCCAAGTACAAATCATGGGCATTACCCAGGAAATTAAAAACAGGGCATTAATTTGAAGATTCATTTAATCGCATATGATTTTCAATGGCTTCATGGTGCCTTTGAACACTCGTGTGGCCCACCTTGCTTGGAGTTCTGGGCCTGATAAGACAGAGCCTTTAAGGCTGCTGAGGCCAATGATAGCTAAAGTTGCCTTTTCTAGGTCTGAAGGAAAGATGTTATTGTATAGGAATATCTCCTTTAAGTGAAAGCTTTTTAGAGGTTTTCCAAGAAAGGGAAACAAATGTGTATCCTGTAGTGAAGATCACGATGTCTCTGATTTCCTCCACTGTACCGTCTTCAGAGAGAGCTGACATTTCTCTAAACCCTTCACGCTGGTCTTCATTGTCACTGTCTTACTGAAGACACAGGCACGTAGTTCATCATTCACAACTATTTTTGATTTTCCCCTTTCACACAAAGCAGAACATTGTTCACAATAGTTATCAACAAGACACTCGGACAGACAATTTATTTGATTAATCCCGGGAAATTATGTGCTAAACCAAGTGAGCGAATTGACCAATTTCTGATCGAATGTTGTTTACCTGATTTTCTGTTTTTGGTTTTCTTTTTTGGGTAAAAATACATATGCAGAGCAAAACACATACACATCCATCAGTTTCTACATTGAGATAGGTTATATTCTTTACACTGTGTCGTCCTTTTACCACTAATGAGTTAGATTTACCCCCCTCTTGGTGGCTGTGAGGTAAGTGTTGAGTAGCTATTTCAGAGCATTTGATTCGGGAGTTTTTCTGTCTCCATGGGTCCAGTATAATAACTTGCTGGAATGATAACATGTTTTGTTTCCTGCTCCCAGTAGAAGGCATGTGGAAAACAACTAAGTTTATATTTCTTGCCAGGATGTTACATTTCTATATCTCTTGAGATTAATGTCTTTGCTCCGCTCATCAGGATAGAGCACGCAGCGCTCTATTTGATACCTGATTTTGGGTTTCATGTCACTTACGCCTCCAAGGAATGAAACTAGGTAAAGAGGAGATCAGCAAGAAACTTTCTGAATAACAATTAAAAAATACATTTATATATACTGATTAATGTTTTCACTGTGAATATCATTCTACTGAATCATATCAGACATAATGTCCTTGAAAACTGACACATCGAATGACCTTTTACCATTAATTCTGCTTCTCAGTTGAAGATACCTTACCACAGACAAATAATTGAAAGCATTATACAGAAAATCACATTTAATGACCTAACTTGCATTTCAAAGGTTTTCTTTTCCTTGCTGCCCTAATTTTCTAGGACATAGTTATCTGCTGCCATTGTAAATGGCGTCCCACACAGAAATTGATTTTCTTAAGTTGTCTGAATTCAGGGTGCACAGCTCAAGGGGAAAGGCTTTCTCTCTCTATTGTCTCTGGAGCAGCCCCTGGTTGTTGAGCTTCTATCATCTTCATGTGGCTCGGGAGCTCTTTCCCCACATTTTGACTTGGTTAATGTTTTTTACATCTTAAAAATAAACAGTCTCAAGTTATACTCTAATCTTGTCTCCTTAACATAACGAAGACAACCCATTCACAAATGGGATTACAACTATAGGTGTAGAGATTAAGGTTACACAGTGCATATTTTTGGAGGAAACAATTTAATGTATAATGTGTCAATGTGCAGATACATATTAAAGCATATTATTCCAGGAAATCCTACTGGATATTCATCTCCCTAATCACTCAGCCAGAGCGGACATAGTGGTGTTGTGGGAACTGACCACCGGCATTTACTCATGTTATAATTACTCTTGTTCTCCGATTGCTGGGAAGTCAATTCTGACTCACAGCATCTCATGTGCTGCACAATAGGACTACACTTTCTGGGGTTCTCAAGATACCAGCCCTTTCTTCTGAGGTGCTTCCTGGTGGGCTCAGACTGCCCAACTCTGGTAGTCCTTGAGTGTGTCACTGTTTGTGCCACCCAGGGGGCTGCATTTCTTTCTTTTCTATGTGGTAGTATGTCAAGCTTCCTCCAAGGCCATCTGCATTTCAAGCTGGCTATGAGAGGTTTTCATCCTTCATTTCTCTAGGCTCCTGAGTCACCACTTTTGTTGGTAGTCAGAAGATACAGCCATTTCAAGCACTTCAGTGGTATGGACATTGTCTTAAGGACGTAAACAGAACAGGATAAGAAAGGCAATGACACAACTGTGGAACATTTTGATTTCGGAATAAAATAGAATAAGAAATAATGGATTTAATCATTTTCCATTAAATAGAAAACATTCAAGTACCCTGTAATAATACTCAATCCATAATTCTCATGGTTAAATTTTTTATTCCTGTGCCTCTCTTGAATCCAGCTTTGTACACATACAGGTAGAACTTGTTCAATAAAACTATATTAAACATCTTCCTGTAAGCATTATGTTATAAGGAGAGCCCCATGTGAAGACTGGCCAGTGACCCAGGTATGAGTTTGAGTCCTAAGAAGTACCTCAAAGGTAAGGCAAGAAGGATAGACACATTATTCAGTCATTTTGAAGCATTTTTCTTCAGCGTGTTTTAAATGGTCTTTTAAGAACGGTTTGCCCTGGTGGAGTACTGAGTTCCTTGTTGAACTGCTAAACACAAGGTCAGAAGTTTGAACTCATCAGCCTCTCTGTGGGAGAAAGATGAGGCTTTCTGCTCCTGCAAAGACTTATAGCTCTGGAAGACCACAGGGGCAGGTCTAGTCTGTCCTCTAGCATCATATGAGTCAGCGCTGACTTGACGGCAGTGAGTGTGATCTGTTCCTGCTGCTGCCTTTGCACAAATCGCTCTTGCCTGATCTAGACACCTGCTTAATATGCTCAACCTGTTTAATATAAAGAATTACAGTCCCTGTAATCTATAGTATTTATCAGACAGTTTGTCACACTTGAATTTAACATACATGTTTGGGATAGATATCTTAATGGAATGAAATAAAAAATATTCTTATTAGATCTCATACTTGTTCTATAATTTATGCTAAATTAGAATAGATTTATAATTTACAATTCTTTGCTTCCTAAAATCATTATGTATACATCTAAGGCAAAGCATAAGTTGCTTTATTTTAAAACCAGGTGCCAATTTGACTTGTAGTAGAGAATTTGGGTATGCTCAGAAAGCATCCTCCTCTTTCTCGCTTTACAGAATTACGAAGACAGTCCCACTGAAAAAGGGGACCAGACAAGGGTGCCCCTTGTCCCCACTCTTATTTAATATTGTCCTGGAGGTATTAGCTAACAGCATAAGGCAAAGAAGAGATATCAGAGGTATTCGCCTGGGGAAGGAAGAGGTAAAACTATCGTTATTTGCAGATGATAAGATTTTATATATGGAAAATCCCAAAAGTTCCACAAGGGGAGTACTGAAAGTAATAGAGGAGTTTGGCAGTGTTGCAGGATAAAAGATCAACAAACAGAAGTCCATCGGACTGCTATATGCATCGGATAAGATCACAGAAGAGGAGATAAAAAGGTGGTAGCCTTCATAATAGCTACATTCAAATAGAAATATCTAGGGATATACCTGACTAAAAGAACAAAAGATCTATATGGGGAAAACTACAGAACACTACTACAAGAAACGAAGGGAGACCTCAACAAATGGAAGAATATCCCATGCTCATGGATCGGAAGACTCAATATAGTCAAGATGTCAGTTCTGCCAAAGGCACTATATAAGCTTAATGCAATTCCAATACAATTACCCTTATCTTTCTTCAAAGAAATGGAAAAACTGATTACCAACTTCATATCGAGAGGGAAGAAGCCCAGAATTAGCAGAGAACTCCTCGAAGAAGAACACAATGGGAGGGCTTGCTTTACCTGACTTTAGCATATGTTATACAGCCACAGTTGTCAAAACCGCATGGTATTGGTACAATGACAGATACTCAGACCAATGGAAAAGAACTGAAAACCCAGAAATAAAATCATCAGCATACAGACAACTGATCTTTGATAAGGGCCCCAAAAATATCAAATGGGAAGGTGATGTCTTTTTAACAAGTGGTGCTGGAAAAAAATGGATATCTACCTGCAGAAAAATGAAGCAAGACCATTCTCTTACTCCATGCACAAGAATAAATTCAAGGTGGATCACAGACCTTGAAGTTAAACCCCAAACGATTAGGGCCATCAATGAGGGAATTGGGACCAACTTGAGAACTTTGGCA